AATGTGATATTTATGTGATTTATTTATGTGATATATTTATCCTAATATACAATGTGATATTTATGTGATATATTTATCCTAATATAAAATGTGATATTATCACCTGAAATAGTCATACAGTTGTGATGTATATTCTGGTTAAACCACACCTTCATTCATCCATTCAGTAAAAAAATGTTAGTACACATTTGATGCCAGTGATTCAGCACGGAACAGGGAACAAATAATAAACAAGCAAATATATAAAATAACACGAGGCAGTGATAAACGCTGCGACGGAAAATAAAGCAGGGTGGAGAGTGGCAGTGACAGTGGGGAGAAGCAATGTGCAGTCAGGGAGGCCTCTTTGAGGATGGATATCTGAGCAAAGAACTAAATGAAGGCAGAAAGCAAACAATATGGGTATCTTGAGAAAGAACTTACCAGGCAGAGGGAACAGCAAGACACTGAGGTCTGAAATAAAGACACGCTTGGTCAATTCAAAAAAACAAGAAAGCCAATAAAATGACCTAAATTATCAGGGGAAGAGTGGTAAGAACTCAGATGGGAGAAGCAGCCAGGAGCCAGATAATACAGGACTTTATGGGCCATGCGTGGCTTGTTTACAAACACGGCCCCAAAATTCTTTAATAATTTTCCAATGTAGACATGGGGTCTTTGTCCCATTCCTTTGAATCTGGTGGGCTTAAGATTGCTTGGACCAGTAGAATATGATGGAAATGACTATGTCTTTCTGAGGTTGGGTCATAAAAGAAGATGGGTCTTTGTCTCGTTTGTTGGAGCATTCATGTTTGCAACCGTAAGCTAGCATGTGACTTTCCTGAGGCCGCCATGCTGTGAGAGAATCAAGCCATGTGTACAGGACACATGTAGCCCCCCTTCCCACCCCCAAGTCTGCAATCCTAGAATTTCAGTCATCCTAGTTACCACGCCAGACACATGACTGAATAAGCCTTCAGATGATTCCAGCTCCCAGCCATCACATCTTCTCAGCTAAAGCCTCAGAAACTGAAACAGACACAAGCTATGTCCCGTCCAAAATGGCCCAGAGAATCCATGAGCATAATATGATTGTTGTAAACCACTGTATTTGGGGCTAGTTTGTTACCCAGCATTCATAACTGGGACACCATGATAGGGATTTTGGATAAGTGAGAAATCTTTGGAGAGTTGATTAACATAATCTGATTTATGAAGTAAAGGGATCACTCTAGTTCCTGCAGGGAGAACAGACTGCAAGAGGGCAAGCATGCAAGCAGAGAGGCCAGTTTGGAACCTACTGCAGTTGTCCAAGCAAGAGATGATAGTGCCCCGGCTAGGGCAGCAGCAATGAAGAGAGTGAGAAGAGCTTTGTTTGACAATATAGTTTCAAAGTAATTCCAATAGGATTTGCTGATGGATTGGAAGTTGCGTGTGGGAAGACACAAATCAAGAATGACACAAAGGATTTTGGACAGAGCAAGCAACTAAGTGAATAGAGGTGTCATTTCCAGAGCTACAAACATTAGAGGAAGAGTAGGTTTGGGGAACAGAAATCAAGAGTTCAGTGTTGAACATGTGATATGTTCATTAAACACCCAAATGGAGACGTGGAAGAAGCAAGTAGGTATACAAATTTGGAGGTCAGGAGAGAGGCTGTTTCCGTAGTACTATGTTCAACTCTAAGTGCCTCATTTTAGGAGAGATATATACAAACTAGAGAATATTCAGAAGAAGGGGACCAGGATGCAGACACTTTTAAAAGCCATACCATTTAAAATAAAAAATGTTGAAGGAACTAAACATAGGGTGGGCAAAAGTATCTATGATGGTGAAGAGGCACTTGAATTAGTAGGACATACCATCAGGACTCATCTCTGAGAGACTAAACATCTAATGCCCACTTTTGTGGAGACTAACAAAAAACACCTCAAAATTGACTATGCCTTTCCCCACAGGAGCTACCGTTCCAGAACCAGACACCATTACAGAGATTTTGACCTCAACACTACAGGAGATGGACTGAATAGCATAAGGCTGTATTGGTGCAGGATTCACTGAACAGAGCAAAGCCAAAAAAACCCACACACCCCTCAAAAAAAAATAAATAAAATTGAAAAAGAAATATCAAAAAAAGAAAAAAAATCTATCCCCATATGTTCCCAGCAAATGGCATACTGGCCTATATGAAATTTACCTATTCATATGCTGTTCCCTTCTGGAATACCCACAGGGGGGAAGTTATCCTTAGTGCTCGTGACACTAAGTTATTTTAGTATTAATAACCACAATATTCTGATTTTTCAGTATTTTAATCTTTTGCATTAATAGAGGCAGTTTAGTAGGGTGAGTAAGAGCAGGAAATCTGGGGCTTCCCTGGTGGCGCAGTGGTTGAGAGTCCGCCTGCCAATGCGCGGTACACGGGTTCGTGCCCCGGTCCGGGAAGATCCCACATGCCGCGGAGCAGCTGAGCCCGTGAGCCATGGCCACTGAGCCTGCGCGTCCGGAGCCTGTGCTCCGCAACGGGAGAGGCCACAACAGTGAGAGGCCCGCGCACCGCAAAAAAAAAAAAAAAAAAAAAAAAAGCAGGAAATCTAAAGCCAGAATTCCTGGGCTAAGATCTTAACTCCAACACTTGGGCAAACTACTTAAACTCTCTGTGCCTCAGTTTCCTACCTCATTAGATTTATCATGGGGAATAAATAAGTCAATAAATGTATTTAAAATACATAGAAACAGCTATATAGTCAGTGATTAAAAATATTAGCTCTATTCAGTAGCATTCAGAGTACTCCGATCTATGAATGTACAGTTAAGACCCCTTGTTCAGTTTTTTTAATTATGCATTCGGGCATATAATATTATGACTTTGAAAGCAAGAACTTCAAAGTCACAGGTGTGAACTTACCCTCTTGCTTTGCAATCATTCCAAAAAGTGCTTTCTTGATATCAGAACTGTTATCATTCAATTCACTGTCTCCTTTTCCACTATCTCTCACACTAAACTCATCTGGGTTTGAATGTGTCCTGGAAGTGAAAAGGAAAAAAACTACTCTGTTATCCATAAAAATGTACAAAATTTCAAACCCATGGCTTAGAGATAATGATAAATACTCTGCAATTACCTTAAACTTGCAGTAGATTTATCCTCTCCCCACAGGAATGGGGAAAGAAAAAGACCTGAGACGGAACCCTGTTTAAAAAGAGGTGTGAGAGCAGCAGTTAATAATATTTCACCCTTAGATATCAGAACTGACAGAGCAGGTACAGCATCCCTCATCTGCAGTGCTTCAGGAAGACACCATTTAAACCCTGATGGAAAGGGATTCGAGCTGGACCCATAAGGAAGTTACCAGGGACCGAAACAGCAGGAATAGACATGGGCCTCCAGGAACACATGAGCATCAGGCCTCCTCCTGCTCTCATCGGTGAAGAATTTTTCCTCTCAAATAAAAAATAAGTCCCGAAAAATTAGCCACTTGAAGTCCCAAACCTGATCAGGCACTGAATTTTCATAAAGCTCCCAGCGTGAAAATTTACTGAATGCTAACGAGGACACTAAGAGAGCTGGGGGTGCGCTACCTGGGCCCAGGGGATCTCGTTCCTCTTCCGAGGCGAGGGGCATAAGGACACCGCACTGTTCCCGGACTGGGAAGTCTCGGCAGACTCGTTCTCCTATGCCTCTGAGGAAATGGAAAGCGGCGGTGTCTCCATGAAGAACCTTGGGTTGAACCTCCCAGGATCAGCCCCTGATGTCCTGCAACATGGGCAAGCCTGGCCACTGCTCGCATGGCACCTGCTCTGTCTGTGCTCACAAAGCCTCTTCCTCCGCGTCCTAGCCTTGCCTGAGCAGGAACAAGTCACGGTGACGATGGCCACCGGCGGAAGGCCGCAGCCGCTGGTCAAAGCCCCGACCACAACCACGGAGAGGTCAGGGTGCCGTCCTGCTCCATGCGCCGTGCGCCGTCCCGCGGACACCTCCCATTCCTCGTTTGCCGGCGGAGGCGGCCGTGGCACCAGCACCACCTCTCCGCCAGGTGGCGCCGAGTGCGCGGGCACGAGGAGCAAGGTGGCCGTGCACTACCGGGCCGGCCGGCCTCCGGCCAGCACCACGACGGCCGCCGTCAGCGGGTCGGCGGGCTGCGGGGACAGGCGGCACTGCAGGGACAGCTCACCCGTGGCCGGGTGTAGCGCTAGCGCCCCGGGGCCGCAGTCGCTCCGCGTTGAGGTCTTTGTCCGTGTCCCTAGCCTGCAGTCGGGTCAGCAGGTAGCCCAGGGGCGCGTCCCGGGGCAGAGGGGCCTGGGCTGAGTCACTGACGAGCGGCGGGGTCACCAGCCGAGGAGCGTGGTCGTTCTGGTCCTCCACATGCAGCCGCATCACGGCCCGGCCCCGGAACGGCCGAGAGCCGCCGTCGAGCGCCTCCAGCCCCAGCCGCAGCTCAGCCAGTTCCTCGCGGTCAAAGCGCTGTCATGCCTGCAGCTCCCCGGTGACGGGGTCCGATGAGACGTAGGTGGACACGGAGCCTCCAGCAGCCGGTAGGTGACCTGGCCGTTGCGGCCCAGGTCCGGGTCCCTGGCGGCCACCGAGGCCAAGTAGGCCCCGGGCAGGTTGTTTTCACTCACCGACACCTCGTAGACCGGCCGCGTGAAGAGCGGCTCGTTGTCGTTCTCGTCGCTCACCCGCACCAGGTAGGGCCGTACGGTGCGCAGCGGGGGCGCGCCGCAGTCCTCGGCCACCAGCGTCAGGTTGTACTCGGCGATGCGCTCGCGGTCCAGCGACCCCGCGGTCACCACCAGGCAGCTGCCCGCGTAGGCCGGCTGCAGTCGGAAGTGCTCGTGCCCATAGAGGGCGCAGCGCACCTGCCCGTTGGCTCCCGAGTCCCTGTCCGAGGTGCTGACCAGCTCCACCAGGCTCTTGCGTGCCGCCCCGTCTGGCACCAGGGAGATGGCTCCGGCCTCTGGCGTCCCGGGCCCGGTCGACGAGGTCGCGTCCGCACCCCCGAGAGCAGCGGCGGCGGCGGCGAAGGGCGAGGCGACAGGCGCGCCCGGGGCGGCCAGCGGGGTGATGGCGATGTCCGGCGCGTTGTCATTGACGTCGCGGATGCGCACGATGACCTTGCAGGTGGCGGCGCGGGGCCCGGGGCCGCGGTCCTGCGCCCGCACGTCCAGTTCGTAAGTGTCCTGGCGCTCGTGGTCCACGGGCCCAGCCAGGGTGAGGCGGCCCGAGCGCCGGTCGAGGCGAAAGAGGCAGCGCGCCTCGGGCTGGGTACGGGAGCCGAAGGCGAACACCACGTCGCCGTTGGGGCCCTCGTCGGGGTCCGCCGCGTCCAGGTCGAGCAGTAGCGAGCCCACGGGCGCGTCCTCCGCCAGCTCGACCTCGGCCACGGCGCCCTGCGGGAAGGCCGGGCTGTGGTCGTTCGCGTCCAGCACGCGCACACTGAGGGCGGCCGTGGCGGAGCACGGTGGGCGGCCTCCGGCCTGGGCCACCAGCTCCAGGTTGTAGGCGGCCTGGCTGTCGCCGTCCAGCTCCTGCAGCAGCACCAGGTCGGCGCACTGGGCACCGTCCGCGCGCGTCTGCAGCTCCACGCGCAAGGGGCTGTGCGGCCAGGCACACGCTCTGCAGCCCATTGGCCTCCACGTCCTCGTCTATGGGCACCTCCAGGGGGATGCGCGTGCCCACGGCCGCGCCCTCAGACACCTCCTCCGGGATCTGGGCCCGGGAAAAGCGTGGCTCGTGGTGGTTGACGTCCCTCACCTCCACCTCCACGTGCACCAGCCGGAACTGCTCTTGCTAAAAGCTTACCACTTTGAAGGCCTGGCCGCACAGCCGCTGGAGGTCCAGGCCCGCATCTCTGAGGACGGTCGCCCTCTTGCACCTGGACCAGCGAGCTGTTGATCTTAATCAGGCGGAACTGGCCTGGCACCTCGCGCTGGGAATTAAACAGGATGTGGTCAGACAGAACACCGATGAAGGTGCCGAGGGCTTCTTCCTCAAAGGTGAGGAAATTGACAGTTTCGGTGCAAGACCCTGACACCAGAAGCAGCAGCAGAAGAAGCAACAGGGACCCCAGTCCAGCCCTGTGTAAAGTGTCAGCGGGGAACCTGAGTCTCCAGTGAGACATTCCTGTTAGTCAAAGGGAAAGAAAAACACCAACAATCCGAGTCTCTGCGCTCAGACTTCCAGCCTTCTCAAGGCCTCCTGAGTGCACAGTCAGGAGACACTTGCTGTCTTAAATACTTTTGATCACTAAACCCTCTCTGCTATATAATCGCTTTTCTCTGCCTGGGACCCAAGCAAGCTTTTTCTGAACCCTACCGGGGAGGTTACGTAGGGAAGAATATGCAAATTAGCATCCATCTGGACCAATCCACAGTCTCCCGGCCTCTGGGTCATGTTCTTCCCTTGAAAGAGCTCACAGAAGGGCCTGGAGAGCTGAACAGTGGCCAGGGCAGTGCAGGGGATCATTAAGATCCCTACAGAAGTTTACACTATAAAAACGCACCCTGCTTGCTTTGCTAGTGTGCCTGAATCTCACTTTGAGAGTATGCGCAGGGGACCCGCAGCATCTTTATTCCTTCCTGAGCACACATAGTCCTTGGACAGAGGCACAATTGCTATTCTCCTTTACCATTTTGAAACTAATGCATATATGCATCCTTTGCCACCCACGGTTATCCATCTATATTGGGTTATCATTTCCTGTATTGAAAGATTCTGGGGGAGCAGCTTCTCCAGAGTCAGGCAGTCTCTAATCAGAGAAGAACTGTTTTCCAAAGTAATCATTTCTGAATAGCTTTTCCCAAGCAAAGAAACCATTAATGATGAAATTTCAGCCCCTTCATCTCCTTTTATGTCAGTAATTACTTACACATGAAGACTCGGTGTCAGTCAGGGAGGTTAGTCAGCCACAATTCACTGCAAGGGATAGTTAAGGGTAAGAAAAAGATTTAGGGAAATACATTGCAGTCAGTCTCGTTAGAAAATTGTTATACACCAATTATTTTTTAAAAGCCCTTGGCTGAAGAAAACCGCAGGTGGCCTGATAGGCTGAAGGCTAAAGAAACATTAAACCATCTGTCTAAAGCACAATAGTCCTATATTAAGTTCTCTTTATGTGTGAAGTGTTCTAAATGCTAAACAGTCCCACATGTTAATGATGACATTGTTCCTCGTGCCATGGAGCCGTCATCAAGGCAGAGTGTTCTTTAACCAGTCATCTTGAATAAAATCAGTGAGCAGGCTAAGCTATTAATATGCCCAGGCTATTCTTAGCTCCTACATGATCTGTAATGTTATTGATTCCTGCAGAGACATGTCAGTAAATGACTATTTTTTTTCCTTTCACTCTTAAGAGGGAGGTGCACTTATTTTAGCACCAGGATCTGTGAACCCAGTTCTGAAACTGAGCCACCTTTGATGAGATAATTAATTTCCAGGGGTTTTAATTTAGTGGAGCATTTGGCAACGACTCTAATTATAAGTACCAGTAACCGATAGAGAAGTACAGTGGGGAGCATGGCTTGATTTTCATCAGGTACTCTGAGATCCTAAAAAGAGAAAAAGCTTCATTTTGTTTACTTTAGATTTTTTTAATTTAATGTTTTAATGTAGTAGAGTCGATTTACAATGTGTTAATTTCTGCTGTACAGCAAAGTGACTCAGTTATACACACATAGACATTATTTTTTTATATTCTTTCCCATTATGATTTATCACAGGATATTGAATATAGAAGGACTGGGAGTTTGTGATTAGCAGAGGTAAACTATTATACATGTGGTGGATAGGCAACAAGGTCCTACTGTACTTTAGATTTTTAAAATTTTGCCTGGTGAGGCATCCATCTGAGGAAGGAAACAACTCTACTTCAGTTTAGTGAGACTAGATTTCTTTCCTTTTTTAAATTTTATTTAATTTAATTAATTAATTTATTTATTTTTGGCTGTGTTGGGTCTTCGTTTCTGTGCGAGGGCTTTCTCTAGTTGTGGCAAGCGGGGGCCACTCTTCATCGCGGTGTGCGGGCCTCTCACTGTCGCGGCCTCTCTTGTTGCGGAGCACAGGCTCCAGACACACAGGATCAGTAATTGTGGCACACGGGCCTAGTTGCTCTGCGGCATGTGGGATCCTCCCAGACCAGGGCTCGAAGCCGTGTCCCCTGCATCGGCAGGCAGATTCTCAACCACTGCGCCACCAAGGAAGCCCGAGACTAGATTTCTTGTTGGCCAGTATCCTCAATGGTATTAAGACAGTTTGCTTTCTTTCTTAGAACTGAGTACTCCAAGGAAGCATCTGGTTATTCAGTCTTTGGGTCTCAGGGAAAACAAGAGGATCTGATCCCTTTACCCAATTTCTTCATTCCTAGATGCCCCTTATCGGAAGACTGAAAACTGATTCGGCCCATGCATTTTAAAAGGCACATGCTTCCATGCACTTTAGCCAGGAGAGGGACCCATTTCATCACAGTCCAAGTCTTGGCCCTTCTCTCTCTCGTGGCACACAGCCCCTGCCAAGCCTGGCTCTTGCCAGTTTTCAGCGTCATTCTTGCCATTCACGATCAGAAAAACTGCTCAGTATCCTGAAAATGAAGACTAGTCTATGACTCTATCTACTGAACATCAAAAGACACAGATAAAAGATTTTAAAAGTCAGGCAATCATACACATTACTTCCACAATGCTAAACAACTGGCCACTTAATGTTTGAAAACATCCACCTATGATGCTTAAATGCTTGATTGCACTTTCCCCACTTCGCCTCCAGCCGTTTGGCAGCAAGGAGACCATCTATGATAAGGAATGTGCTATATTGTCAGAGACTCATTATTAGCGTTAGCTTTGTTTCCTAGTAAACAACCACGTTATTAAAACACTGCTTTATGAATGAAAGACAGCTGGAGTTTCAAGAAAGAGACATTTTCTGAAGCAAAAATCAGTTCTGTGCCAGTAGATTGACAAGCTGAATAATATAGAAACTGCATGATCTGTCCCCTTAGGATGTGTCATCGGGAAGCCATGTTTACAGCCTTGAGCCCATGGTACTCTCATGTTCCATTCTGTTGGCTCTATTAGATAAAAATCTGTCTCAATATTAAAAGCACTGTGGCAGAAACTTGCTTTATGTTGCTTGTTTTCCCATTTGCCAGCATATTGCCAAACTATACTGCCACCACTACAGGAAGACCAAAATGTGGATAAAGCAGCAGTTTGGTTTCAAAAGGGATGAAGGGGGGGTGGGGGGATTTGGCTGAACTCCCTTCAGTGTTTACTTTTGTTCCTAAAACAAAAGCACCAGACATACTAGTGTTCCCCCAAAATGCCAGAAAACCAGATCTGTAAAACAGGATTTGCATTCTAATCATTTTAATAAAAGATTTTCTCTTTTGCTGAACAAGAAACTCCAGCGTGCCCCTTACACACTAAGGCACGCTGGACAGAAACTAAGATAACTTTCACCGTAAACATGGAGGAAAATGGTCCCTAATTCAAAATAGTGCCTGTGCCTTTGCATATTCCCCTTTTCCTATTACATAAAACTAATAACATATTTAGGGGAAAAACTGAAACCACAGGAAAATCCCTAATGTAAATATTTGGCTAGGTTATGGTGTCCACACTTCAGAGTAGGCATCAACTTCTATAGAACCTTGAACTAACAGTTCCAGAAACAGTTTTTGTCCCATTTAGAATAAATCACTCTATGTACTATGTGAGATCCATTTTCATTTCTCAACTGAACAAACATTCTGGAGAAAAGGTTATAATGAGCAAAACATTATCAAGTGCAATGTTGCTGTCTTAAAGCAGCACGTTCTAGAAATTGAAGCAATGAAGACTGTTTGAAAGAAAAAAAAATCAACCTAACAACTGGGGTTTTTCTTCCTATTTTTAAAATCATACCTTGAGGGCTTCCCTGATGGCGCAGTGGTTGAGAGTCCGCCTGCCGATGCAGGGGACACGGGTTTGTGCCCCGGTCCGGTAAGATCCCACGTGCCGCAGAGCGGCTGGGCCCGTGAGCCATGACCGCTGAGCCTGCGCGTCTGGAGCCTGTGCTCCGCAGCGGGAGAGGCCACAACAGTAAGAGGCCCGCGTACCGCGAAAAAAAAAAAAAAAAAATCATACCTTGAAAAAGCTAAACTCATTCTTCAGCAGGATGAGCCCCCCAAATTGAGAGTAACTGTTTTAAGTGCTCGCATAAGAAGGGTCATTATATCACATTCCTGTTACCCCACTGACCCTATTAGGTCTTGACTGTGCATTCATTTATAAGAAAAGTCATCAGCAAATTGCTGGTCCTTTCTGGAAAATGATTTCAGGGAAAATAATTCAGCTCTGAAGTCAGCCAAAATACTGTGTACAAGCGTAGCCTAGAAACAAATGATATTTATCAACTACTTAAGTGCTTGAACCTAGACAAAATCACAGGGAACCACTATAGCGTATCAACACTAATCATAAAGTCCCCTTAACATTAAACAAGGATTTAAATGACATAATCTTCACTTAGAAAAAAATTTTCCCATAGGATCATTATGTTAGTAATGATATTATCAAAACTATGTAATCTTAAAATACAACATAAAACTAGTTTTTAAACTGCTGATTTTATTAGCCTAGCTCTATGAAGGAAATTAAGTCAATGAATAATGAAAAATATTTTACCTTTTTGGTTCAGGGATACCTCAAACCCCAACTGAGCCAGAGAAATTGACTTTGGTACTTGACTTCGGTCATTGGCTCAAGGACCATACTTTGGATTCTTACCACTCTATAGGAAAAAAATTATCTGCCCCCCTCTCAAGAATGTTGCAAAGCAAGAGAAGAATAAAAGAATATGGACTAAGGAGTAACTTTTCATCTGTGCCTTATTTTATCTTCATCTCTCTTCCTCTCACCTGAACCTCTCTATTCCTAATCTAAAACAAAGCTTGTGACCACCAGTAATCAGAGCACTTTGGGGTCCTTTTTTTTTTTGGCTGCATTGGGTCTTCATTGCTGCATGCAGGCTTTTTCTAGTTGCGGCGAGCAGGGTCTACTCTTCATTGTGGTGTGCAAACTTATTGCAGTCACTTCTATTGTGGCAGAGCATGGGCTCTAGGCGTGTGGGCTTCAGTAGTTGTGGCACGT